AAATGTGGCCCAACACTCTCCTGATCTGACGTGATTCGTTCGCATCGTACTAGTATCAAACTTGAACAATAAATTGGCTCTAGAAACGCAAACGTGTCACCAAAAACATTAGTGGCACCACCCATGGGCCAGACAGTGCATGTAACAATGATAGCATAGCAAGATCAAGTGGTACTGTGTCTTGTTTCCATGCAAGGATCTAGCCTGAGTACCTGTCTACACCAGGGAGAGCCACAAAACCGTGCATGGGATGCCAGCCTCCAGTTGAAGCATTATATGCTATCCATCCCTCGATCCCAATAGGTGGACCATCACCATTAGACATGCAATGATATGCAGAACGTACACCTGGGATATGCATACTGGCGCCCAGCTGCCAGACTTTCCCTGTGAAATACAAGGACATGGGCCCCTCCTTACGAGGCTCAGTCCTGATATAGTAGTTCTTACCATTGTGAGTACCCATTCGTTTATATATTCCCTCGAGGCCAGCTGGACAACCCCTAATGGTAAGGTAATCGACAGCAAGACCTGCGTCCTCCACTCCCAAGGTATTTGCTCCCGGATGCAGCTCATTATTCAGAGATGCTCTCTCACTAGCCCACTCAGGCAACATCCGAAGAATCTCCTCCTTAGCAGCACGGCTACCCCCCGAATTCTTCAACGCCCACCGCAGAAAAGGTAGTGGCGAAAACCTTGACTTCTTCGCACTTTTCAGAAGTAAGAGTAGGCATTCCTCAGCTTCATCAGGATCGTGTGGTAATCGTGTTGGGAACCGCGGATGTATTGTAGAGAGCGTTACGTATTTGAGTAGAGATTGACCTCGATCGAGAGCTCCACTATCCAGAGTATTATACACAGCATTTGCCCATGCAGACAGATCCATACCGGTCAATGCTGTCTCCTGTAACTTCATCACCATGTTGCAGTTTAGTTGGGAAGGATTCAAATGTATAATACATAGGATGGCCTCAACCGCTGCAACTCGTTCGGTGACCTTGGAAGTGCTTCCAATTATCCGCCTTTTCTTCCCAAAAGCATCGACAGCCTCCAAGGCCATCTCCGAGATCTCATTAACCAATTGGAATGTTGAACCACACTTAATACTAGCACGCACCGCCACGACTGGTAATAACGAGGTCTGCATCTTGGCGCTGAATCCACCCTCTCTACATGTCTTGTGCACTATGGCCAATAACGGTAGCACCATTTTCTCTACGTCATCTTCCTCCAGACTGTTTAGCCGCACCAAGAGAAAGTTGACGGCCTCGAGAGCGACATTAGGCTTCTTAAGTATCAGGCGCACGTCGTCAGCGAAGAGGGCTCGACATATGTCATGATGCATACTATCAAGCACAGTCGAGTCCATTTGATAGCCAACTTGGTTTTGGAATAATCTAGAGAGACCCCTACAAACCATACCGACCTCAAAGTCGCCAGACCACTGTTGTTGGGTAATGAGGTGAGGCATTCTCCGAAGTAGCTCAGCTCCCTCTTGCGGTACCAAAACTCTACCTAGAGATACGAGGAGCCGTTCCATTGCTAGAGGCTGCGCTAGTGTTGGTAATATCTCCAACGGCAACTTGTTCATTTTCTGAAATACGAGTGACTCCTTGATAACAACGACCAGATACAGTCGACTAACTGCAGCTCCGTCGCGTCCTGCAGTTCCCGATATTATTACCTCGTCCCTAACTATCAGCGCCTCCAGGAGTTTCAACCAGGAATCCTCCGATCTAGGATTCAACTTTGCATCCTTCCACAGCTGTTTCATAGTGTCATCGTCATGGTAGTTGGATACAGCTTCTGAGCCTCGGAGTTCATGGGAGGCCAAATGGGTAGTGGCACTGGACGCAACGCCTCCTGCATAACCAGCGGCCACTGCATGATGGCTAAGTTGGCCTGATTGCGCCCGGCAGGTCTGCCATACTACACGGCGGAACATGTAATACAATCTGAATAGGCAGTTCTGCCGGGGGGTCAACAGATATGAGGGATAAGTCCCTACGCTAGGGTACCCCACTTGCCACCGATATACATGCACACTAAGGAACCATCGCTATTCTAGAAACCATGAGCAACACTGCTTGCCTGCTACTCCACAACGCGACACTTGGTTCTGGATCGGAAAATATAGCTCCACGGTCCATGAGTTGGAGATACAGCTACGTATATCACCCTTGCATAGTTCTGTAGCATTCTGATAGCACCTATCTTGCAGGATTGGCCCTCCCATACTCACCATCAACAGGGATAAGATGGTACTATTCCCTTCACTGTCATACCTACAACTGGTTGAAGAAGCTTAGAAGTCCCCGGGGGACGAGCTCGACGCTTACTGGTGGAGAGTAGCATATTGCACGGTATAACCGATCTGCTGCCCTACACTACTCTCTCGGGATCACTAGCAGACTAGGTTACGGTTCAACAACATATGCTATTTTGAAGTCATTCCCATTATTAAACTCCCACTCTCACTCATCACCGTGAGCAGCACTCCCCTGCCGTCATCGTTAAATATGAGTGTGCTTGCGTGCATGCCTCGCTACCGCCGTGGCACTCCATTCTGTAACCTTGTATTAATGCTTCGTGGAGGAACCTATGAGGACGCGTATGAAGAATGCTCATGACCTCTGTTGACGCTCTGCTGCTGACGAAGAAGTGTCCTCCCTTGGGGTTGAACTTGGACCCTCCCAGCTTTTGAGTCCGAACGAAGTTAGATCAGGGGCCGTATGCGGATCCTGATGCAACAGGTGAGTCAGAGTATTTACTCAGATGAAAAAATCAGATGGTGAGTAATAACCCCTGATTCACTGATTTTTTACTCTGGAGCGAAAAATCAGGATCATCGCGAGGACATGTGGATCTCTGAGCTGATTCGAGAATCTAAAGTTGATTTTTTGGCTGATTAATACTCTTACTCAATATGCCTTGCTCATGAGGCTGATTTTTCGGGTGATTCCATTGAATCTGAGTATTTTCGAGAATCAGGGAATCAGAGTTTGAATCAGACATTTTTGACAAGACGAAGATTATAGTCGCTACGCCCCACAACCGAAAGTGACAATTTCAAGAAAGGAAGAAAACGTCACTGTACGAGGGTTGAACCTGGTAGATTCGCCCCTTATGCATGCACATTTCCCGTTACGTTACAGCAATGATAAAATTTCGGAAGAAGATCTTCTGTCGCACTTGTACACATCCGTACTTCAAACTTTTCAATATGTTCACTCGGAATCAACTAACTCCGGGTTTCTAACTCAGAAGTTCTAAGAGGAAGCTCAGCGCTAGAGCTTCCTTCTAGAGCTTCCTTTGATAACCGGTAGCGTGATCGGGTGTCGTTATCGGACAATCCCTCAAGAGGATCGACGAAGGGCATTTATTGTTTTTATGAACAATTAATCGAATTAAGGAATGCATAGTTCACAGTGTGAACTTCACACCGTGTGGCTGCATGTACTACATGCGCTATACCTCCATACACCGTTTTATATCGTATGACCTCATAGTTGAACTGGTTAAGGTGATACTTTCATGTGCTCGAAGCCGGGGTTCTAATCCCGGGCAGTGTCATACTAATATCCTGTATGTACTACGTGCGCTATACCTCCTTGCAGCGTCTTGTATTATATAATCTCACAGCTCAACTGGTTAAGGATATGCTTTCAATTGGTCGAAGCCGAGGTTCTATCCCCCGGTACGGTCATTCTAAGAACCTACTCGGCGAGTAGTACTCGCAAGAAGCTGAGAAGGTCTACCGTGGCGCGCGCTGAAGTCGTGAATCAAGGTCGAGAATCAGAATCAGGGTTTGGTACCGGGGGTCCGGACCCCCGGTACAGAATCAAGATTAATCCCCGTGTTAAACTGTGAGCTTGTGCATCATGAGTATGATCCCGGATCATGCTCAAGGTGAGATTGCGATCTTGAATCTGAGCAGCTTTGAGGTTGAGTAAAAGAATCTCGACTCCTGAGAATTAATCTCGAATCACGAGTAAAAATCCCAACTCTGAGTATTCAATCTCGAGTTGATGAAATACTCTGACTCAGTACCAAAAACTCTGAATCAGCCATTGAGTATAGGTTTGAATCTTGAATCGTGATTAAGGATCAGGAATCGGATTCAGCGGCTGATTAAAATCAAGGATCGAGGATCTTGCTCATGATTACGTAATCTGACTCTGTCTCAAGTACTCATACTCAGAAATCTCGACTCTTTCTCCTGAGCTAAGAATCTGAATCAGTTCTCTCGAATCAAGGTGTGACTTGAATCATGAATCAGGATCAGAGCGTGAGTTGAATCATGGACTCAGATTCATGAATCAGGATCCGCATACGGCCCCAGCAAAGATATTTGATTAAGGCTTTTCCATCGATAAGCCTAATGGAAGCCCCTAGGAGCCCATCACGTTTAGAAGGATCATGGACAAGCAAGGAGGCGTTGTTGGCACAGCTTACAAGCTTACAGCGGGTTATACAACTGCAAGATGCAACGGCATGTCGGAATGTTCGTGTTGACTTGTATTCGATGATGGGATCATTCAGGTGATAACAGATCCCCAGCCGATTTGTCATGGCGACATGAGGCAGTGAAATTGAGCGTTGAGAAGCAAGCGATCCAGGACGAATGTCTGGAGATAGTGAAGCGAACCAATGTATCGGTCGTCCCTATATCACTGTGCTTCGTACGTCCTTCGTATATAGGAACGATATCAACAGCAATGTGGAGCGGCACGGTCTACCATCGCAGGGCTCATCCACACACACAGTAACGCATGTATCAAAGAAGTACTTCACTCGACTAGTGTGGCCTTGGAACGCTTGTGGCAACGACTATCTGCAGTTGAAGCGGCACACAGTCGGGCGAGTGATGAGATTATGTAGTAGTAGGATGAGGAAGCCATGTGTTGTTGTTGTCATATATGACTGATTGTGAGGTATTACCAGGAGAGGACTAGAGACCATGTTGTGAAAGTGGAGACGAAGCTTATAGATCTGGCAGAGGAGTTTGATGAAGCTAAGAGGAGGCTCAAAGTGTCTCAAAGGGAAGCGAAAGCTTTGGCTAAGGAAAACGATAGGTGAGGATCACAACATCACGATAAGTGGGGACATGTGCTGACTTAGGCTCACTAAGATGGTAGCTCAAATGCATGCAGCAATAGTAGAGTCTCGAGCCATGCTAGAATCTTCTGAACGACGTGCTACAGCGGCTGAGGGTTTAGTTGCGAAGCTTGCTGTAGACAAGTCCGGTGACGTGAGGCAAGCCTCAGATGGCGTGTTGAGATCTGTGGATGAGCAAAAGTCTAATATACCCTCACGGGTTGTTGACCAGACCTCGGGAGATTCACAGATGGGAGTGAACAACGAGATTGATAGCGGACATTCTAGCGGTACGACCGATCTCGAGGAGCCAAGTGGAGGCAGCACGATAGCCAAACTCATATGTGAATTACGAGAACTCGAGAGTGAAGCGCGTTCACTGTTGGCCAGTCAAGAATTGGATGTCTCAGAGCTAGCCGCTCAGCGACAGCAACAGCAGCAGCACAAGGTTAATTAATATCCCAGTTTTGTTCATGCCTTGTTTCGCGATACCACTACCGTTGTGTTCAGTCTGTCAGAGAGGCAATTCAACCGTAGTTTATCATGAGTTCGTCGACTATTACCGATAAGGAGCCCTCTATTAGTAAGGAATCACAGCTTCTATCAGAAGCTTCCGCTTCCTTATCACCGATGCCTGAACAAATTAGAGAGTTGGAGTCTCTGAGGCTAGAGGTGGGGGGTGTCGCATATCCTACAAAAGCACTGCTAATAGGGACTGGCCTCGCTGCGGGAGTGGGAAACTAACAGGCAGGCTTCGGCGGCATCGTGGGCTGAGAGGGTTGCCGAGCTCTGTAATACTAGATCTGCTTAGGTTGTCCTTGCCATGCTGGTGTAGGTGTACAACTGAGGAAGGTCATGGATCATGGCTTGAAAGAAACACAGGACGCTTGTGTTTTCCTCGTTGCGCGGATCCAAGCTGATCTAGCATATGCCCAGGCTTTAGAGGTGCTCAACGTCAATGCACGTCTCCACTGGATCTTCGCATTCACTCAGGCATTGCCGGAAGACCCAAATAACTGGAATGAGTACTCTAGACGGAGCGGCAAACTATTGCATGACTTCAATGAGGCTACACAGACGACTCTCATCGATAAGGGCCTCAAAGAAGTAGAGGTCGATTATAAAGGGAGGATGGTAATACACTGGCAGTTGGGAAGGGGATCATGGCGATATGATGGCTTCTAATGCAAAAACCATCATATCCGTTGTGCTCATGAGGAAACACTTTGGAATTAGGTGTAGCTCTGATTTCAGGAAGAGATCCTGAAGGACCTCGATGGTGCTATTACAGAATGCGCGTCATCAGAGGAAGTTGCCGCGAGAGCATGGAAAGAACATGAGAGAATGTTCATGTCTCGATTCACCCATGCTGTTGGAACAGCCGACCGATGGTCTACTGAATTGACCTATCGGAAGGCTGTTGCTCAAGCAGCACAGAAGCGGGATATGGTAGAGGCTCGTCTAGTGTCAGCAGTAGCTGCAGCAGACAGAGCTGAGTCTTGGCGGGAACAGGTACTACTCGATCAACTACTCGGTGTATAAGACGGTAAGCCTGTCTTTTCAGAATACCACATCTGTACTACGCCATTGGCTTACGAAACAGTATCAACTCTGGCTACACGTCAGCTCTGCTGCACAGGATCAACAACGGGTCCTCACTGAAGAACTTACTGAAGCCGCACTATCCGCCACAGGTAAGAAGATACCTTCCATCCTGTCGGGGTCGCATGATCTGTCTCGGCTCAGGCCAGGTCGATGCCGTAGCGGCACTGCGGATATCATCTGTCAGGAAGAACTCTAACTCGGCATCCCCCCGTAGAGATGATCCTAATTTGAATAAATCCATCATCGCGACCAGCCCTGAGATGGTTTGCTTGATGAGGATGCTTGGGCCATCCCCACCGCCCAGGAGCCCCGGCCGAGAGCCTAAGGACAAAGGTACTCGTCAGAGCTTATTCCTTCGCCGAGTAGCTGGTGCCATTTCAGCAGCAGCAGCTAGTGGACTGCGTAAAGCTGGGTCTGCTAGTCGAGATGGAGTTGAAGAGAATGATCATATCGAATCATTGTTGGTTCGACGACCATTTTTCCACGATTTACGAGAGGAATCCCGAAAGGCGGGAAACAACGATGCTTCCCCTCTCACGGGCCTCGTTATTCACTCGGCCACAGTCCCGGCTCTACCGAGTAACTTTGAATCGACAGGTCTCGATGTGATTCTATGGTGATGGGTTTGTGAAGGTACAAAGAAAGGTGCAGGATGGTTCGGTAGTGGGCCCAAGTGGACAACACAGAGAGTTACTGTTACAGCTGATGCGTACATCTATCTGCAAGATGAGCTTGACCATGATCATGATGATGAGGGGAAGTGGGATTAACTCCACTATATCTGTCCAATACCTACGTGCTCATCTTAGATCAATATCGGCTTTGTTGACGCAGTCGACAGTAACGCTTGCTCCAGAAGGGGATGCCGAGATCCTCTCAATTAAGCCTCAGAAGCAGTCAGGGATGTTTGCCTCGGCACCTAGATCGCTACAGCTGAGGTAACAGTATGGACAGTTTAAGGGCATCCGTATCACATCGTTATTCAGGTTTCCACAAAATGGCCAGCATCTGGGCGAAAGATGGTTGGAGCTGCTCCACCGTGTTCAGTGTCAAGCGAGGAATCGAGACGAGCTCCTCGCTGCTACTGTCAGTGGGAAACCCTCTGAACTACGTCGAGAGACACGTGGACAAAGGAGTAGCGGAGATGGAAGTATGAACGCATCAAAGCAGCCGCAGCAGCAATAAGGGCATTGATTAAGCACCGACAATTTGAACAGCAGCAGCAGGAGTTTGGAAGCCGGAGTTTTACTAGTTTTACTAGTTCTAGTTCTTGGATGTGCCTACTCTAAATAGAATGTATTTCCTTGTATAAGTAATACATTGTTGTGTACGTACTCCTGGTAGAGATGCTTCTTCTTGTTGTTGTATGCTATGCTATACCATTCTAGCCTGGAATTTCCAGATATAGCTATCCTTTCATACCATTTACTATGTAATCCTTAGTCGCGTCTATCACTGTCAATTGAGCGGGTAGACCTGAGTAAAGGGTTATTCACTTAATCATAGACCGAAATGTCTGAAGCTACACTGTAGCTGCTACAGATAGATATATGTGCCACCCTCTCCGCATGAACATTCATGAACAACTATTCATCCTAATATCAACTCAATGATGATAGCTCCATGCAATCTGCCTCTAAGTGGTATGTCATAATGAAGTCAATGCCATAGACAGCTCTGGGAGATAAGAGGAATAGACACGTAAACGTTGGCAATCATGTGGTGGGTCCGGCCACAAGTTCGGAGAGCAGGTTTATGTACTGAGGCATACGGATACGAACTTATATGAAGCTGTTAAGTTCGCTCCTTTCGTATGCGTTTCGTGTTTAACCGATATGATGTTGTATTTGCATCAGTGTGAAATGGATTGATGCTGCATTAGTGTAGTTTACTATCCCATCATGGGCTTGATCATCGCGAGGCAAGAGGCTGAACGCCTTGACATCGAGACCTCGCATAACAAGGCGATGGAGTTCATTCAAATACACCATCCAGACTACCTTGGTAGAACCGACTGTTCTCTTTGCTATCAAGCCATACTAAGGGCATCCTAAAGCATGTCGTTATAGGTAACGGTGAGGTTCTGGGTCTAGATGTAGGCTCTACTAGTAGGAGGGATGATAGGACAAGACATGCATCACTCGACACCATCGTCAGAGGCTCTATCCTCACCGACTCCGATCAAGGTGAGCTCCTTCCTCATGACTACTGGTATCAAGTGGCTTAGATCCGGGTGAGGGTGAGGAGGCCAACGACATGTTTATCAATGCTTGTAGGAAAGGCCGCTACTGGCTGGTTGAGGTGGATAGTTCTTCTACCTACTCATGTCCATCTGTGAGCAACCTCCTTCTGCAGTTTTTGGTTCTGCGTAGCATCGATATCATCAACAAACCCGATAGTCAAGGTTGTACAGGATTATACCGAGCAGCGGAGATGGGTCATGATAGAGTAGTTAGAACCCTCATCAACCGACATCATGCCTCTGTAGGAATCAAATTGACACGATTCTTCTCTAGTGGATGTTTCCGGTCTATTCCTGTACTACTTGCTAGAGTCCTTGTGAGGTCAACACTAGGTCATAAGTTTGATATGTCGCGTACAAGCAATCCACTCTACATACTTGGCATTGTCAGATGGATCTGGCGAATGAATTCGGGTGGACTCCTCTCTTAGCGGCAGTATTCCATGGTCATGTTCGAGTCATCGAATTGTTGTTGAAGGCAGGTGCCAGCATTAACTGTAATGTGCTCCTTCTTCCTACTCCCTTTACCATCGAAATTAGGTGAGGACCTCCACGGGTGTGGAGTTCTACATTTTGCTGCATCCAGTCCCAAACTATATATAACAGATTTCGTCAGCCGAAAGGATCGAGTGAAGCGTAGGAAGGTGAGGCGGCGCTCATGAGCTCGTTGCAATGTAGCTAGTCGATCGAGGTACGCCAGCGTGAGTATGCGAGACACCTTATGCTCGTTTCTATGAAGAGAGCTTCTCAAAAGGTAGCCTCGCTCTTGCCCAGAGATAACGCGACGTCAGCCGCGTTAGCTCTGTCTAGGTCATGGATGCAGACCCCGATCCGAGGGCCCGGATGTCTGAGAAGCGGCGAGGACGATGGACCAAGGCAGTCATGTGCAAGGTGCATCCTCCCGCATCTCATCAGCACGACCAGCATGCAAGCACTCTGACTCATGTAGATCAAGGAGATACGGGAGAGGATTATGCTCGGTGGGGAGAATGGCGTGGGTATTAGAGGAGAAGAAGAGGAGGATGATAGCGGCGGGGACCGGGGCCAAATCAAGCAGCAGCAGCAACTACGTGAACTGGCGGTATGGCCGATTCGATGCCTTGGAATTGACACTACTCTCGCCTTAGGAAAGGGAGAAACAGAGGGTACACTTCCAGGAGGCTGCATCATCATCACGCCGCTCACGTTATCCTCAATCGAATCCTGAACCGGACACAGACGAGGTGATGGGACCTGTTCCTTGCCTCCTACCGGCCTTACTGTTCTTTTAGTCACAGCAGCCCAACGAGCTCCTTGCCGACATGGTAGATCTGTCAACAGAGCAGCAAGCTCGAGAGCTTTGGGTATATTACCCAAATAGGATAGAACTAATCGTGGTGGACAGACTTATCGCATTAGGGAGGTTCGGTCGTGGCAGGTAGCCTATTGACCAATACATGAGATAGCAAGAGGTAGCCACCGCCGCCGCCGCTGCTCATCAGGTGTAAGATATCAAAGAAGGATTTCATCGATAAGGTCGACAAAAAAGGCAGAACGGCACTGTCTTACGCAGCTACCTATGGACATGAGTAAGACTATGTGATTGTAAAAGAGGATAAGCATGCACTTAGTAATAGGCATATCGCATCGAGATTACTTTATGAGGGTGCACAAATAGACTTGATGGACCGACAGGGGAGGACTCCCCTCATGCATGCTATCTTGAAGGAGCATCTTGAAGTGAGTAGGATATATGTCGAGGATGTGGTGGATGGATACAAGTAATAACTGTATACCTGTAGCTCTAGGTTGTAGAGCTCCTGTTGAACGGTAAAGCCGATGTCAATACAAGCGATATCACGTTCAAGTCCCCCTTGCATTTAGCGCTCGAGACTAGGAATTCTACAGTGGTAACCTCCGGACATCTGCCTTGCGGTATCGCTATAACGGCTGACTGCAGGCTGAGATCCTTCTATCGTTTGGAGCAGATGTTAATGCATTCGATGCCTCTGGTAAAACTCCGCTTATGATTGCCATGGATCAGAAAGCGAGCGCACTATTCAACCAGGTGGGGAGCCTATTGAATGATGATGATCCCCTTCCTCCTCGTCGTTATCATAGCTATCACAGGAGACAGGTTTTGCTTTATAACCCGAGTCTGGATGCACTAGACGAGAGGGGATGGAACGTTCTCATATATGCAGTGAGGAGTAACCTGCTAGAAGCACTTCTACCAGTCTTGAAGCGGCTCTCCGAGGATGGTCTAAGATCAGTCACTCGGTAGATCGAGTGGATAAGTGTAACACCGCGATGATCCTGCTTTGAGGTAGGTGGCAGGACCCTAGAGGATATGTTGCTCTCCATCATGCTGTGGAGATGGGCAAGTTGGGGGAGGTTGAAAAGTTACGTAGCATGGACCCTGACACAGTGGGTTAGTCTCATCAACATTGTTCGTGCTAATTACTGCTAAGCTGTAGTAGGTATTACTCACAGACTGCTTAGGCAACACTCCACTCCATGTAGCTGCTATCTGTGGGAATATGGAAATATTAAATTGTCTTGCAAAACATGTTGATGACCTGGACATACAGAATGGCATGGGTGAGCTTCCCTCGCCTGTGAATTTGGAGCAACTCCCCTGTGAGGCAGGTGAGAGTCCGCTTCAATGTGCCGCTCATGATGGGCATATAGCATGTGTCCTGGCTCTACTCTCACCTCAACGTCATCTACTACCAGCCAATGCTGACCATGTCGACTCTCGAGGTAAGTAACCTGAAAGGGAACTGCCCTTATACATGGAGGAGGAGAAGCTCTCTTAGGCAGGACACTCCTCATGCATGCCTGCAACAGTGGTAGCACAGCCTTGGTACGTATGATACTCCTAAACGCATCTGCGAACAATAGGAACGTGGCCTTCGGGCAGGCCAAGGTATCCATCCGTTTCATATTTCAAGTACCCCATTATAGGTGAACGCACACGACAGTGCAGGTGTTACCGCCCTTATGATCGCATGCATGGAAGGCTTTTGGCCCCTCATACCACCATTGGCTTTGGCAGGCGCCAATATACTAGCTACTGTAGTACATACTCGACTACAGGCTTGTATTGAGGTGTAGTTGAGCCTTAGGACAGTGATGGGTGGGCGGCTTTACATTACGCCTGTGATGCTGGTGAAGTATTGTGCGTGGCATCTATCTTAGATTTGGGAGAGGCGCTGACTGGCCGCGGGGACCATGACCCCTCCCTGAATGCTCGTAAGAGTGCATACCGATCGATTGTCCGTATCTATTCCATTCTTCCCTTTATTTGTCACTAGATGCAGTAGTGAACCAGCGAGATAAGCAGGGATGGACTCCTTTAACGCATGCAGCTTGTAAAGGTTATATCGACTGTGTCCAAGTAGGCCAACAGCAGCATCGAGGTTTCCTATAACAATAGTCTCTTTAGATGCTCCTTGATCGGCGAGCTGATATCGACGTCGAGGCCTATAGTGGACATAATGCTCTGGCCATCGCCAAATCGTCTAATCATGATATCGTTATTGAGGCCATCGTGGATGCCATCCGGTGCAGGTCCAGTTCATGGCACATGAATATGTCGCTGTGACATGTCCGAATCGTCAGGTCTGGAGAATTGGTAACGGGGGGTCGTCTTAGCAAGAGTCTTAAATCACCTGGCCGCCTCCACGAAGAGGACGACGCAGATAGCGTGGTTCATACGGGTAGGCATGAATGAATGATGAAGCAACTGAGCAGATACCTAATGCATATGGTCACTTCATGGTGACTATCCTCAAGGCGTGTGACCTGTTTGTCGAGGGGATACCTAGTGACCGTCTCAACGTGTATGATGATCATGGGGAAGTCCTCTTGGAAGCGTTCTACTACAACAGATATGCATGCATACTATTCTCTCCTTGTCGTGCTGATGGAATAAGTATAGCCATCACGAGTTGCTGCCTCGAAACCGATGGAGCAGCCAACTCCCAGCAGCCCCACCACAGCTCGAGCGGTATCGCATCATGGCATGAATCATTCAGGTGGTGTGATGTTCATTCATATACCCCACACTTACGTTATAGATTCGATACGCGCTCTATCGACCAGGATGGTTGGCTCGTAGTGGAGCTTTACGCAGTCGACGACGCTATTGATCAGGCCGACCTCATAGCTGATCATGCTGCTCTCCAGGAGCTATGCACCGAGTAGGTTGGAAGGCACTTTTCATGGGTGAGGACTTGTATTGTGTGTAGCGTCGAGGTCCATCATGAACTTCCTCTAAATGAGCAGTACACGATGGTTGCGCCAGAGAAGAGAGTGGAAGTCTTGACAGCAGAAGTAATTCGCTGAACGGTATACGCTAGATAATTTCCTCGCAGCCGACTCGAACTAAGCGTAAATCTAATATGGAGGAGCACTCAAATGGTATGCACACAGATGGGAATATGGAGGATACCATGGTATCGGCACTGACTCACCATATACGCTACTGGCCAACTTGTATTGGATCTCAGGGGGTCAGTGTGATGAACAGACGGAGACTGGCAATGTTGAACGCAAGGCTTCAACTTGCACTAGGGAAATTGGCCGAAATTCCAGAAACTCCCCTACCAACTTCAGGGAGGCATATCCCGTTGGTAAGTGGTGGACACCGTGTTTGATGATACAAGTTGCATCAGGGCTTCGTGTTCTTATCCTATGCCCATCTAAGAGAAGCGACCTTATCAGCCGAACCCGTAAGGATAGATAGACCATTGAGGGCAAATGTCCGCGGACGAGTGGCTTTCGACATCGATTTCCGGTGGGCTCGGACGGTGTATCACTGATGTACAAGTCAGCAGACCTCGACTATGGATACCCACGACAGATCGTCAGCGTGAGTTGGATGACCCTTACTTCGTCCGTCAGGGCGAGGTCTCCCTGAGTGCGGCATCCCTTGACGTACGTACCACATTCGAAACAATCTTACACAATCCCCACACATGATTCTCCCAGGGCCGACTGCCGACTCCTCGAGCTGAACATGTGGCGTCAAGTGATCACTTCGGAACGTTGGACGATCCCTGCGTACGTGGAGGAGCAGCGGCAGCAGCTTCATAAGATAGATGCATATGTGTATATACCATGTAGGTTCCTACAATTCCATGGGGGACTCTTCGCCCACCATCCTCCCCAGCTAGAGCTTCCAAGCTTCTGAACGATTCCACAGCCTTGAGGGTGGACGCACATTCACCTTCTGGTCCTACACAGAGTAAGGCCAAGCAGCATGTTACCTTCAGCGACGTGAAATCGGTATCGAGGGACACTGGTAGGTTGAGCGGGTTCTCGAGATCCACTGTGAAATGTTGTTGTGGACTCATAAACGTCTCCTAGATACCAGAAGTAGTATAAAACAGCGAGTCATGAATGTACGGAAGTCTCTGAGCAAATATGTATCGCGAAGTGGTCATCACGAAGTCACGAGCACGGGAGCAGGGTACTATGAACAGTCTTGCAGAGATCTCTCCCTGCTGTATCGTGCATAGATGTACAAGGGATGGTCTGGGAGAGCTAGAAAGAGCCCAAAGAGCCAAACGCGCCACTATATCCGCAATCAGAGACGCGCTCCACTCGGAAACTGTTGGTTAACGAGTATGCTCCTTCAATGTGGTACTTCCCGGTATGATCGCGAGGAATTCATTGCAGATTGGTGCATGAAATAATGCAACATGTGCCAGCGTTGTTGACTAAAGTGATGTGCAATAAATCTCGGATACTGTCTTGCGTTACATGCGACTAGCCTTTCAAGGGTGTTACCATCTTGCATGTATTGTGATGACTCCAGGTAGCATCTCTTGGCATTGTCAACTGGAACCTCTGATATTGCCTTAGTTGATGTATATTTTGATGACCTTGAGCTGAATACAGATTCTCTCAGCTACTGGAGGTGAGAGAGACATGACACTTGCAGTGATATACAGGAGCATCCGAGGAATGCTTTTCCTGACTCTGAGAGCTTGTCTCAGGAAGGCTGAGCCCACCAGGTCCAATACATCTATGGTACATCTATTTCCGGTGAGACCATCTAAGACTTCATAAGGCTTATGAGTTCTGGAGTGGTGCTCATGACATGAGCACATAGTATAGAGGGGAGAGTTGCTTTCCTATAGAACACTACGAAAACTCTGGCCTATGAACTCAGTTTCTCACCAATGATGAGGCATAACTCGATTTGGTTGCAGTTTGGATGATGCAGATTACCACTGTTTTCGGAAGATCTCACAATCATTTGGTGAAAAGAAAAAAACATCCCATATTGGATCATCCCATTGGGATGTAGTCTAGATGATGTAAAGAAATTTGCCCCAAGGTGAACGACTCCTAACATTTGAAGCTTGTTAGGTGTGTGAGACATCGTTTTTTACTGCTCCGAACACGGATCTTTAACTCTTTCAACTGCTAAACTCTAGACACATGAAGTATGTTGGAAACTCTTCAACCGTGTGTGTCAATCTTACAGATGACTGCTTCCACCCGATTGCTCTGACAGGCGCATCTTCTTGAACATTTTGGCTGCCTCCAACAATTTAATCTTGGGTTTCTTCGCAGCATCCCCAGCCTTCTCATCATCCGGGAACTCCCATACAGTAACCATTACCTAAGAACAAGAGATGCACTACAAACCCACTCCGCCTCATGAACGTACCGTATCTTCTGCACCGGGCTCTCCACCACCGTGACTCTGGTCAACACGCCCCTTGTGCTTCACAGCCTTGGGTTGTCGACTCTCGATGTTTGCAATATCGCTATCGGGAAACGCCCATGTGTGATCGAATATCGTATCGATGTGGGCTCACTCATATTTAGCTTCCTTCGCTAGCTTAAGCATATACTCGAGCAGCAACCTGCGGGACTCAGAATCCTCTTCCTTCTTGGCCTCGGCGATACCCCGTTCGAGGACCTTTGAGAATGTAACGTAGCCTATCAGACGTAGTAGACAGACAACTCACTTCCTTCGCCTTCTCGAAGGACTGGTCTCCGTGCTTCAGTTCGAAATCAGCATACGAACGCCAAACCTTGACGTGGGTGGTGCGATCCAGTAATCGTTCGAATAAATCGCTGAAAAGAGCGTTGATGCTCTCCACACTCATCAAGCCAACAAGCAACATACCGTGCATTCTCCATCTCTCCTTGCTCTATTTCTATGTCGATACATTTCTTCCAAATCAGCTCCGGCTCGTTCATAATCTCGTCGCTCTCGTCAGATGCCGACTCGTCAGCGAGCTACATCATGAAGGTTGGGCGTTAAGTCAAACACGCCAAGTACCCTAATGGCCATCTCTCCAAGCTTGCGAGCTCTATTGACCTCAGAGAGCTTCATCTCCATATCCATCCAGCATACCCAAGACGCAGCTTCCAGCGAATGCGCCGATACGTAACTGTCCGATAGAATAGCTGTCTCTTCGAAAGTAAGCATGAAGCCGATCGTTAGTGTTCGGTAGCGTGGTAATGTTTTACCTCGCACAGATCCTGCGGGCTCGATCCACTTGCCCGAGGTTGAACTCAAATTGAATGTAGGAACGGAACACAGAAGCCTTCTTCGATTCGCCGATTGCACGACCATACCTGCAGACGGGGCACTTGCCGTGATTCCACAATAGTCGCCAAGCACACCGGAGGGATCTTACACAAGCCTAGCCCGTCCAACATCCATCTGGCGGATCTCGAACTCCGCGTAAGCATTGTAAAGTTTGCTGAAGTATATCTTCCGCGAGCGAAAGAGCCCGAGGGCTGTGTGATATCTACGAGGATTACAATCCCTTAGTAGCCAATAACACATAACAGTAGCTTTGCCGTGTGTCGCTTACACTTCTCGACCCTATCAGTGTCGATTCCCCGGATTGGATGAGGGACTCCTCGTAATTAGCATAGAAGAGCCATATATACCTACCAAAAATGAGAGTTCAATGGCAATGAAACACTCTGCAGTCTATACACATATCGCCTGTAAAGATCTTTCCGTCCCTTGGGTGCCGCTTGTTCGGGTGGTAGAGCTGCAGCGATGGCTCTCTCGTATACTTCTCGGCATTGGGCTGCGGAGTCTCCAATATTTTCTTCGAGAAGGATCTGTGGTGAGGCATCTGTAGAAGGAGAGGATGATGATAACGTACATAGTTGATCCAGATATCCACATCAACTCCATCAGAGTCAGAGAGTTGCTTCTCATATTTCAGTCTACACTTCTCCAGAAGGAGCCTTTCGATATCCGTTCGCGTACCTTTCTGTTTCATGTACCTGAGTACATAAGCTATGGTAGCCATGGTAGAGTGGCATGCTACTTGGCGTATCTATCGCGTAGATAAGCAGTCCTTTCAGGAGGTAAAGTGTCTATACCAAGCTTATAGACCTTCGCCGCCGCTGAGGGATCATCCCTCGCAGCTCGTTGCTCGAACTCTGCCCACTTCACGTATCTGCAGTTCGAGTTCTCACCACGTCGTCACTTCATGACGGTGAGACGTCATTACAGATCTTCAGTGATCCCCTCCGGTCCCAAATCATCTTTCAAAGTGTCATGACATGTCTGGTAGCCAGCTCGTGCCCGAACCTGACAATCTCACAGTCAGTGCTGACAGCACCAGCAGCAACGGTGATCGTCGGCAACTACATTATTCCCATGTCTTTCCTCGAACTTGGCCAACCGTGTAAAAGACATCACTGTCTGGATTTGAGATACGTATCTATTGTATAAATACTCGACGCTTTAGATCCTCTGGTGATGACGATGACCTTTCATATATGGCTCTGGCCCGTTCAACCTCATGGCATCTAAGCTCGAACTTGATATATTGTAGCCATGCATTATCGCTAGGTTGCCATTGCATCCATCTCTCATACACCTGTATGCCATCAATCACCATCAACTCCATCATTCTCACTCTGTATGTAGTATACTTTCCGAGCCGCAGCATAGTCCATTAGAAGCTCCTCCATATAGGCATACTTATACCAGAACTGATCATGACGAGGTAGAAGGCTCGTGACTCGATCGAATCTATTCAGTTACAGATTTACATCTCTCGACAGGGCAGCACTTACAAGTTCCTCGCATGGGCCACAAACTTGTGTTTCATTTCCATCTCGATATACTTCAGCCACAGGGACGAATTACGATAGTCGATCTGCAGTGCTCTCTCGAAGACTGAGCGGGCCCTTCTGAACTCCTCTTGGGACTCTTCCCATTGAGCATATCTGTACATTATCGGTCAGCATCCCCCCTCCCCCAAGAGTCATCCTACTTAATCCAGGTGCCCATATGATGTCGTTGTTTACGTAAGGTGTCCTCAAACTCCTTCCGTTTGCTCACCCTGACGAGGACACGCTAGTCGCTAATTGCACTCGTATCTTCCCGAGGTACTTATAATCAGCAAGTTCCTCCTTACTGGCAATCTTACGAGATGGCCCGGGCCGCTCCTAATACAGGAAAGCACCATCATAGCCACCAAGAGAAGCACTCCGTTACATCCCCCATCCGTTCGACTGCCTCCCTCAGGATCTGTTCAGCTGTAATCTGCTGGGGATTGGCCGTCGCATTCTTCACAGCGAACTTATCCTGCTTCGGTGGCATCTTGATGATGAAATCGACTGGTCAAAATAGCAGCCAAAGCACCACTACAGGAAAGCATTACGAAGGAACGAGGCGGTGTACCCTGAGGCTGCAACTCAAGAAGGGAGTGACTTTTTATGTGATGGAAAAACATCATTTTTAGTGGTCCACAAGACTGGTCCATATGGAATTAGAGTCCAGTATGGAAATACACGAAAGCATGTGTCTCCCACACGTCGATTCGAGAGTTGCTAGTGTTGATGACAGCAAAGCTCACAGTTTGCTTATCTGTTGATGAGAAGCTCACAAGGTCAAACTGGAAGGATCCGCTAGACCCAACTGAAGTTCTATCTCCACGAGAATCTGCAAGTTGGGTGCTAGACAGCTGGTGAGACCAGTATGTATAGGTGCCTGAGAGAATAACCTACATGAGAACCCTCGACCAAACACCTATGCCCACCCATGATCATCCCGTATTACCCTTGATCGAGTAGTGATGATAACAACAAGAGATACGTGGTAGGCATAGCTTCATGCTTGACGGAATTGTATGTTACCATATAAACCGCTAGTCTGCTTATGTCGACCCCTCCTAAGGGTCCATCGGAATAACCAGCACGATCCAAGTGCATCCCACTCCCCGTTACTCTCCTTTATCGCACTGAGAACCCAACATAGTACACGATAACTCCAAGGCGAAGCGTGGGATATCCAGAGATGTGCATGCATCGTAGCAATGACAGTAATGGTTTATATGCGAGGTAGGAATCTACTACATATAGATTCCTAGTCGTCACTCTTTGTTGCAAGGAGATCGTTGTTGAGCCTTTCCTTGAGTGCTTGTCCCATACCACCACCTGAATGCTTCTAACAGACCCATGGGACTAGACTCTATTCGTCACCCCCCGATGTAGAACGTGGGCCTCCAGATAAAGCAACCGTGCGGCGCTCTCCACTATCATTGGGTATAATATTCTCTGCAATGGACAGGGACTGTATGCTCTGATTCGCCTTGTATTAGCAACACCTCACCAGAAAGTTGTGCATTACCTCCCAGACTCGTATTAGTTCGCATTGCTCTGAACTCTGAATCAACCGAGCAAATACTCTCACAACATCGATAAAGAAGGTACGACAACACGGCTATCGAGTTAGATACCCCGACCTACGTGATTTGCTCGCCATATCTTCGCGGTAACTGAGCGAGAACCCATTGGAAGTAAACGAACATAATGCGACTGCTATATATCTCACAGCTTCACGCCTTCAACACCACTTCTCGTTCGTACTAGCAAAGCAAAGAAGAGTCTCTGTAGCCGCGATCGGCTATCAGGTTTGTTGTAAGCTCTGATTGTAACAACTCATTCCTGTCAACTTAATACTCATACCAAACCTGGCTACTTGCGCTGATTCTGCCAGGCTTTCTCCTCCTTGACGTAATCCTTGATAGATTCACTAATAGCTTCCCGTACTTCAGGAGCCGCAGAGTAGAGCTGATAGACAATCGCTGGTGGGCTCATCAAGGCTTCATTACCGTGCCGAGAGCAGGGAACATCGGTGTGAACGCTGCGATGGATTCCTGAGAGAAGGTAGTCTCTATGGCATGGGGGGAGCGGGGGCGTCGCCTAACCTCAGAGGATGAACATTCAGAAGAGGTAAGCAAGCATACTCCTGAATAACTGAGTAAGGAAGCATGCAGAGATGTGAAAGGCTGCTGTGGAGTGTTGTAGCTCATTATTATTACAAGCAACAGAATAGTGAGCCCGTACCCCATACTACGTTGAATAGAGATACCATAGCACTCTCGGACGCACACTAGGAAGGAGCGAGGAAGTGGTGAACATGAATAAACCAAGCAGAGCTACCTTAAAAGCTGATAGACTCGCGCCGGTTCCTAAGAATGCGGATGCAACCAATGGTAGGGTGGAGCATTGGCCTGAACAGGCTCGTAGAGCATCATAGGAGCCTAAGATTATGGCAACCATGATGCAGAATACTAAGTGGTCATTCCCTACTACTACCAAGTATGAACGGTAGTGACTCCAAGAGGAGAATGAGGGAGACTATGACCACGTCACGCCACTAATAAAAGAGCAAATAAACCAATCTTCCATATCCGGTTAGACCTTGCGGTTGAAGCGTATCCTGCGTTGATGAGCTTTGTTCATCGGAGTATCGCCTGACTCGGTAGAGGACCACAGAGGCAGCACACTACGCAGCATCGAGACAGCGGATGAAGCCACCCGGTGACCCAGTCGTTGCAAAGTATTCCGTCTTGGAGCTGAGAATCGAGCTCGATCTTAATGACTGGTCTTCGTTCGTTCCCGTACGGAGCGGTAGATCAGTAAAATCAGTTATGTCTGCAGAGTGTCGGCGGATTGCCTCCACTTCCTTTGCATAGTTCACGTTCACTGTCGCCGCACCAGGGAGTAACCTGTCTTCTCCCCTCAGGCTCTAATAGGACACGATAAGTATCTACTACCCATTGGAATGAATATCTCTAGATGTCCTTCTGGATCCTCCCCCAAGCCCCCTTCGCCCAGTATTACGTCTACTGCTGCTCCTTCTGCCCTGACCACGATAAGGTCTCCCTTCATTGCCTCCTGTGGCAATACTACCCCTGGATTTGAGCTTTGTTCCATAGGGCGCAAAAACCAAATAACTGCAACGATTAACGGAAAACTTATCCCGAACGTTTTCGCGCGGCCTTCGCAAGGAAAAGCTAGGCTTACAACGGGTCGACCGCCATGTCTAGCACAGGTAAGATGTGAGAATACCGTCCACTCCTTAGACACCGAGTATTGAATCAGAACTACTTTAAACTCTCTATAGGCTCCCATCGAGAAACGATAAAGCCCGAGTTAGAGAACGCTGAAGGGATGTCGTACGATACCAATAACAGCGGTCGTAATGTCTCGGAAGGAAATCAACAGTCGGATGACGTGCTGGGCTTTAACGATGTAACCCATAGTGAACTAAACACTGATGAACACTCCATAAAGAACCCAATGGATGAGAATACACGAGAAGAAGTCACGAGTGAAGAAGCTAACGCTAGAGACATCATCAAGGAGCTTGATGAGCTTATGGAGGGTTACCTACATCGGCTAGGGATCAATGATAATATTAATCAACTACCACTACAGTGGCGAGGTAACTTCCGCTTGAGTAGACCTCATTTCTATAGTGCATACCATAATGCTTCAGATTTGCCGGGTAATGAGAGTTTAGGAAACCTACACGAAGCTGAACACATTTTGCGACGATGCATGAAAATGAAGATGGTCATCAACCACCATCGAATAGCAATGATCTAATTGTTCGCCATTGTTCAGGGAATCAACAGTGAAGACTCTGATCAGGGGGTAGACTTCGAGCGGCAATACTACAGGAAGAGTGCACGAGCCAGTGGTGATGAGCAAACTCAGTCGGAATTCGGAAAACTAGCAGACAAGTTGGAACGTGGGATTCGGAGAAGCATGAAGAAAGTTGCTCAGAAGAATGTATACAGGAGCTATGTTGATCATTGCCTACGGACGACTTGATCACTGTAAAGGAAGTGAACTGTTGCGCTATCAGATCGTTGCAAGGGTACAATATATATTCCATAGTCTAAGCCCGCACTACACTCAGAACAGCTTTGACAGGAGACTGTGCTTATAACCAACTGTCATATACGGGCAATAATGTGAGTACCCGGTAAGTACAAGCAGTCTAGTACATCAATCACACAAGGACAACAACTAACGCAAGCTTCGATAACAACAGGAGTGAGCGCAAGTTACATTTCAGCAGTACGAGAGGGTACTAGCAAGATATTAGGGTAGACCAACGGATTCAATGGTATACCAGGGAAGGCTGTGATGATGACGATGAACATCAACTTCCAGGATGGAGAATGTCGGTATAGATTATTCCATAGAGACATATAGGGACCAATACAAGGCCAATGACGAAGATTAGAGCAGATAAATACCACCTAACTCGTCCTTCTGATTCGATGTCATTACGAGTAAGCATACAATAGAGATAACATGGCATAATGAAACTCGTACAGTCACCACCAATAAGGCCCAACAGTGAGAAGGTCACTCCGAGAGAATTCACGAAGATAGCCACCACGAGACTGATCAGTACTATACACACAGTAAGAATGACCCTCAGCTTCAGCTCAGCCGCAGGCTTCAATTCACGCCCTCGTGTTAGCAGGACTGTGAGAGACCTCCGACAAGGGAACACTTGTAATGGGAAAGAGCATACTTCCGATACTGCTAGAGCCACATATCCAATTTGTACAGGAATATAGTTAACACTGAGGTTCTGTAAACTAAGAGCTTCGACGTCATAGCCAAAAGTTATGTAGGGAAACACCATTGCCGGTATGAAGATAACTATGGCTGTAGAAATAGCGGCGGTTGAAACTATGTCCACACGCTTTTGTGTTCGATTCTTAAGATCATCAGTAACAAGGAAAGCATTCATATGACATCCGAAGGACATGATAATGATAGGTAGAACACCCATTACCGTCCAGAAGTTAGCTGGAGGCCAAACTGTTGTGTTCTCATCGGTCTTAGAGCAATCACAGTAAACAATTCCTAGAATAACAACGTAGACCAGACTGAT